CAAGTGATAGAGCATTAGCCTTGAGCAAAGAAGCTCAGGGACAGTGCCCAGTCCCAGAGTTCAAGCCCTAGGACTGGCCAAAAAGAAAAAAAAAGCAGGGGTATGATGGCCCATGCTTGTAATCCCAGCAATCAGGAGACAGAGTCAGGAAGATTACTAGTTTGAGGCCAGCCTAAGGTGAGTTTAAGCCAACCTGAGCTTCATAGTGTGACTATCTCTCAAGGGTTGGCTGGTAAGAGTCATGGCCCAAGCAATAGAGGACCTACCTAGCAAGCAAGAAGCTCTGACTTCAAACTCCAGCACCACCAAAAGGGGCAGGGGAGAAGGCCCCCCCCCCCCCGTAGAGCTCCTGCCTAATTAGCATGAGGCCAGATCCCCTAGTACCACCAAAACACGCCTGCCTAGCACCACACCTGCACTGCACACAGAATACAACAACAACTATTACCACTACAAAAAGAAGGGAAGGAAAAGAGGGAGTGTGCCTATATTGAAAGCATCTACCAAATGCTAAGCCCATATAATGGGCAGAAAAGACACTAAGGCTTTTGTGTAGGAAGTTTCAGAACTCAGTCATAGAGAGAGGCCACACACTTCTGCAGAAAAGAATGTGCCTAGTGCTGCTGTTCAGGCCTGTAGCCCTAGGTGACTTAGGAGGTAGAGATTGGGAGGATCAAGGTTCTAGGCCAGCCTGGACAAAAAGCTCATGAGAGCTTATCTTAATAAATCAAGCATGATAGTGTCTATTGTTCCATCTGTGTGGGAAGTATACTACAATCACAGGCCACAGGAGACACTATTTGAAAAATACAGCAAAAAGGATTATGGGTATGGCTTGAGTAGTAGAACCCCTGCCTAGCAAGCAAGCACAAGGTCCTGACTCTAAAACCGCAGCATTGTCCCTCCCCCCCAGAATTTTTTAAAGTCAAAGAGTAGTTTTGGGTGCTGGAATAGAGTGGCACAGTGCCTTCTGAAAACAGATTTTCAATGTGGAATGTTAAAGACTTCAGTCAAGCCATGAGTCAAACAAAAAGGTAACCTGAAACTATTTTTAGACATTCAGGGTCTCCAGAAATTGGCTTCCCACACACGCATCCTTTCATGAAAAGACATTTGGATGTTTTCCAGCAAATTGAGAGAGTAATTTTCAGAGTGGAAGTCAGGGATGACTGAGTTAATAAATAAAAGTTAATGGGTAGCTGCTGACATTTGCAGAGGAGTTCACAAGTTTGTTACTTACCTTTGATCTGTACTTCCCACTTGTCAATCTGGAGCAGACAGGAATCAGTAAACCCAATACAAGGTCAATGTAAAAGAATAGTAGACTTTGATAAAGGAGTAACCATAGACTCCAGAAAAGTTGCACATGTAGCCCACGGCCTCTGAGAACATGCTCAGCTTCACTGAGCCTTAGGGAGATGTGGTCAGAGCCAAAGGAGGAGTAAGGCAGGCAGAACAGAGGGGCAAGAGAGTTGTTTCCTAGGGCGCTTCAGTCTTGTTAAGGTGAAGAGTGCTAACTGCACCTTAATGGGAATGCATGTAGCACTACTGAACTGTATACTTGAAAGTCCTTTAAGGGGCAAGCTGTGTGGAACATCTATTTTAGCACAATGAAAACAATTTAATGTGGCCTTACTGTAGGTGGTCAGGATCTACCATGCTGCTTCCTGCTGGGATGGAGCAGGGTGGAAGGCCCTGGGCAGGAGTCAGGAGAGTGCTCTAAACTCTTGGTAAGGGAACAAACATAGAAGGGAAGGAAAAGAAAAGCAATTAAGAGCTAAAATTAAACAAAAAGTAAAAATAGATGACAGTGTATCAAATAACCATGGGAATTATTTACGGTTAACGCAGTGCCATTTATCCATTGAACTGAAAGTAGTGATGAGGATGTGTGTAAGAGCCCTCCCTCACACCTATATCTATCCTTTTATCTCTCAGCTAAGCTGTGACACTCTCAAATCAGTAAGAAATAGTAACTCGTTGGTGTGTTACGGATCCCAACATGCAAGAGGCTGAGGTAGGAGGATCATGAGTTTGAGGCCATCTTGGGCGAGACTCTTGTCTCCAAAAACATGACAAAAATAAAATTTAAAAATCCCAGTAATTAGCCGGGCGCTGGTGGCTCACACCTGTAATCCTAGCTACTCAGGAGGCTGAGATCTGAGGATCTCGGTTCAAAGCCAGCCTGGGCAGGAAAGTCTGTGAGACTCTTATCTCCCACAAACCACTAGAAAACCGGAAGTGGTGCTTGGCGGTAGAACGCTCGCCTTGAGCTGAAGAGCACAAGGACAGCACCCAAGCCCAGAATTCAAGCCCCACAACTGACAAAAAAAAAAACCCAAAAAACAAAAAAAGTGGTAGAGTGCTAGCCTTGAGTTCAGGGACAGCACCCAGGCCTTGAGTTCAAGCCCCAAGACTGAAACCACCCCCCAAAAATAGAGTGAACATCTGCATTATGCTTTGTCATATGCACGTGAGCACAGGCAGGCAAGGGTGAGATGCTTCGTAGCTATGTGAACTCTGTTTACAGTACTTCACTGTGACCGTGGGATCTTATTGCTGAGGAATGGCTAGTGCTAATTTAATTTGCAGGTGAATAGAATTCAGTGAAATTCATTTTCATTCCTTTCTTGAATACTTCTTTTAAATGTAGCCTGTACCAGCCTACTTGATTCAATTTACTCTCTGAAGATGGTGGAAGAATCTCACTCACTGTACTCTAGATATAGGCTCTGACAGTGGCAGAGGAAGCCATTGTGGACCTGGTTTTCATTTGCTGATTTTCTCTGTAGATAAGTGGCTGAAGTTTGATGATTGTAACCCAGCCTGGTCACTCCCAAGAGCTGCCTGTGGTATGTGAATATTGCTCAGTGTCTCTACCTTTTACCATTAGCTTTTGCCTGGAAAGTATCATCTAAGATAATGAACAATCACTTTTCAAACTTCGTAAGTGTTCAGTCTTTTCGTTTGTTTGTCCTGGTACCATGGCTTGAATTCAAAGCATTGTGCTTTCACTTGGCTTTTTCTGCATATGGCTGTTATTCTACCACTTAAGCCACACCTGTAGTCAGGCATTTTGCTGGCTAATTGGAGATAGTCTTGAGCATTTCTGCCTGGGTTGGCTTTGACCCATAATAAAGCTCTAGGTCTCAGCCTTCTGAGTAGCTACGATAATAGGCATGAACTATCCATGCCTGATACATACATCTCCTTTCAAAGCAGTGTTTCTCAACTTGGGCTGAACCTGGAGTCTACTAAAAGCTTTAAGTACACTGTTGATGCTTGAGTCCTGTTCCCACAGGCTTCATGTGTTGCATCCTTGGTCTTGGAAGTCTTTGAAGCTTCCCACATAATACTGTTGGGCAAAGTCTAAGGATCACTCTTTTAAAGGAAGAATACTCAAAGGTAGCCTCACATACACTTTATCAGCTTAAATTGTTCCTATTATGGCAATATTTGTGTACAGCAGATAGTAAGCCGAAATTCCTTATATGTGTAGTTGTATCTTTCTAAAATATTTATATATTAATACATTAAAAGCAATGTACTGATTGTTTTTTCCCCATTGCTGGGACTCATCCCAGGGCCTTGCACATAATGGACAGGTACTCTGTCTTCCTCTCCCTGTGTCCCCAGTGACAGAGTCTGCTGAGGATTGATTCTAGGGATGCTATTCCTAATCCATTATATTCCTTCCTGCCAGTGTGAGTATGCTTTCAGTCAGGAGATAGAAACCATATGGTTTATATAAACAGGAAAAGTTTAATGTAAGGAATACAATATGGTAAAAGTAATTGTGGTCAGACAGAATGGCATACCCTATATGTCTACTCCTAGCTATTCTGGAGTTTGGATAAGTCATAGTTCAAGGCTAGCCCTGGCAAAAAGTTAGAAAATACCTTCCCCCCTCCCCCAATCTCAAACAACAAGCTTAGTCTTGGTGGTACATCATGTCTAATTACAGCTTTGGGGGATTACAGTAGAAGGGCTAAGATCCAAGATCAGCCCCAGGTAAAAACAGAGACTCTTCATTAAAAAAGTAATAATAATAACTAAAGCCAAAAAACTAAAAGGCTAAGAGCATTGTTTAAGAGGTAAAATGCCTGCCTGGGCAAGAAAGTCCAAGAGACTCTTATCTCCAATTAACCACCAAAAAGCCAAAACCACCACAGCTCCAAAAGATGGAGTTGTGGTTCAAGTAGTAGAGCTCTTGCCTTGAGCAAAAAAGCACCCCCCCCAAAAAAAAAAAAAAAACAAGAAGGCTGGCAGGGAGCTTACTTTATATAGCAGGAGGGAGATACATTCAGTAGTACATGGTGAATGTCCAGTTCTGACACTCTCAAAGTGGCACCTACATTCTTCTGTAGGTGACAGTGGCTTCAGATATTTTGGCCTTGATGCTCCCCTTCCTTTCCCTTCCCTTCCCATCTGTTTTTCCATGTGGCAGAATTGGGATTTGAACTCAGGACATTATGCTTATTAGGTGTTCTACCATTTAAGTCATACTCTCAGCCCTTTTCAATCTAGTTATGTTTGAGATAAGGTCTCATTTTTCCCCCATCAGGCATTCACCTGGTTGGTGATCCTCCTGTTTTATTCTTTGTGCTGTACCTGAGATGACAGTCCCACACTACCATACCCAGCTTTTTCCATCAAAATGGAGCCTTGCAAACATCTTTCCCAGGCTGGCCTGGAACTGCTGCCTTCCTCATTTCAATCCTGATTTCAGCTGAGATTATAGTCACGTGTCACTGTGCCTAGCTGTTGGTTGAATGTTGAGCTATTTGTTGAGATGCATATCAACTTCTTGAACAGCTAGGATTATAAGTGTGAGCTACTGCACCCAGCCTAATAATATAACCATTTAAAACAGCCATTATACCAACATCACTTTTCTTTATATTTAATAAGGGAGAAAGAAGAAGAAACACAAGAAGAGGAACATTTTGATGGAAGAAAAGAAAAAGAAAAAGCAGGAAGAAAAGAAAAAGAAGGAAGGTGCTCAGAAAAAGGTTTGGCTAAAGTGTTGACTTCACTGTCCTTGTAATCAACCATACATTTGTCATTTACATTGTCACAGCCATTACATTGTTAAGTTTAATTGTATCAGTATGCTATAATTATAGATATTAGCAAATAACAGATACTGTCATGGTGAAAAAAATAAAGGATGGCAGCTACAAAGTATCTTTCTTAAAGAGCAAAAGGTATTACAGTTGCATTTCAAGAAGTTTGGGTTTGCTTATGGTGATAAAGTACAGCTGTGCCATTTTACTCACCATCAGCTGTCCAGAACAGCCAATCTAAGTAATAAGGAAAGACCTACCAAACTGATCTTACTAGAAAAGCTAGAAATAACCCTTGAGGGTTGGCATATATTCTTTTAGAAATCCTATCAGTAAATATTAAAGATAAAATTATATATGTAGCTCTGTAGTCTTGAGTTTTATGGCATGTAAAATACTAAGCTATAACATTTAGGTAATGGGAAGGTGGCTCAGTGGTAGAGCGCTTGCCTTGCATGAATGAAGCTGGGTTTGATTCCTCAGCACCACATAAGCAAAAAGAAAAAAGCCAGAAATGGCGCTGTGGCTCAAGTGGCAGAGCGCTAGCCTTGAGCTGAAGAGCTGAGGGACAGTGCCCAGGCCCAGAGTTCAGGCCCCATGACCGGACCCAAAAAAACAAAACAAAACAAAACAAAAAACATTTGTCTTTGTTCTTGCCTATTAGTATAGTTAAACTATATACCTTTTTTACTAAACAAAAGATAGAGCTCAAACAAGCTTCCATGTAGGGTTTTTTTTTTGCCTTTACTTAATATTGTCATGTGATCAATAGCAAGTAGCCATTTCCCCTGGTAATATGAAATAATAATAAATCAACAGAGTAAAGCTTGTTTTTTACAATGTCTAGTATGAAGTCTGCTTATGATTTGTCATAGATGTGTATGTATGTTCGACACGTGATTGTCCTAAAGCGTTTCTGATTTTTTTTTTTCAGGCTGCTGATCAAAAAACCAAAGGTAAATTTATTTATATTTCGGGGGGGGGGGGCACCAAAGTTGATGAAGATGGTTTTCTTTTTTAATGGATGTTTCAAAACAGAATATAAGGTTGCCTTTGAGTCTACTTCTTATTCATTGTGAAAGTCTCCATTTATCTCTGGTTTTACATCTGCATCTCATTGGCATTTGGGTAATCTAAAAATGCCTGAAAAATGTTAGCTTTCTAAATAATGTTTTTTTGTTTTTTTTTTTCCTGGCCTGAGCGCTTCCCCTGAGCTTCTTTTGCTCAAGGCTAGTGCTCTACAACTTGAGCCACAGTTCTACTTCCAGCATTTTCTGAGCAGTTTTTTGTTTTTTGAAGATAAGTGCCTCATAAACTTTCTTGCCCAGGCTGGCTTCAAATTGCAAGTCTCATATCTCAGCCTTCTGAGCAGCTAGGATTATAGGCATGAGCCACCGGCATCCAGCTAAATAATGCTTTTAAATTTGCTTTTGGTTTGATTTCTACCAAATAAAGATTGAACTGATGTTGATTCGTTTGGAATAAGAACAACCAAAGAATATTGATTTTTTTTTCTTTCTTTCTTAAGCTGAGTAGAAAAGTTAGTGAGCTGGATGCCAGTGGCTCACACCTGTAATCCTAGCTACTCAGGAGACTGAGACCTGAAGATCACAGTTCCTGGCCGTCCCAGGCAGAAAGTCTAAAAGACTTCATCTTAGTGGAGAGAAGCTGGATGTGGTGGTGTATACCTGTCATCCCAGCAACTATAGGATGCTTCAAATAGTATTCACCTTGGCAGAAAACTGGATCCTATCTTAACAGTAGTACAAAACAGGGTTGGAGGCATGTCTCAGTAGTAGAGCACCTTCCTACAGCACAAAGTCCTAAGTTCAAACCCTCATACTGCCAAAAAATTTTTCTTGAGATTTTTTTTTTTTTGGTCGGTGGTGGGGCTTGAACTCTGGGCACTATCCCTCAGTTCTTCAGCTCCAGGCTAGTGCTCTACCACTTGAGCCACAGTGCCACTTCCAGTTTTCTGGTGGTTTATTGGAGATAAGAGTATCATGGACTTTCCTGCCCGGGCTGGCTTTGAACTGCAATCCTCAGATCTCAACCTCCTGAGTAACTAGGATTACAGGCCTGAGCCACCGGCACCCAGCTTCTTGAGATTTTTTTTTTGCGGCCTGATTTATCCCCTTCAATCTCAATCTCTCTCTGTCTCTGTCTCTCTCGTTGGTCCAAGACAGAACTCAATCTTGGTATCTGATGGTTTTGCTCATCGGCTAGCACTTTACCAAGTGAACCCTCAAGGGTTAACTGTTTCTTCTCTTTCTTTTTTTCTTTTTCCCCCCAATCTCGTTTAATCATTTTCATTATAATTGTTTTCTTCTCAAATGTTAGAATTGTTATAAGATTTCTATTTTCAGGGCTGGGAAGGTGGCTCAGTGGTAGAGTGCTTGCATTACATGCCTGAGGCCCTGGGTTTGATTCCTCAGCACCACATAAGCAAAAAGAAAAAATGCTGGAAGTGGCGCTGTGGCTCAAGTGGTAGAGTGTTAGCCTTGAGCTGAAGAGCTGAGGGACAGCGCCCAGGCCCAGAGTTCAGACCCCACGACCGGACCCTCCCCAAAAAAAAAAAAGATTGCTGTTTTCTGTTATGCTGATGAATATTTTCATTTCTAACTTCAAACAGTGCTGAGTTTTTATCTGCTCTTTGCATCTTCTCTAAAATACTGCTCTCTTGGGTATAGTTTATTAGTAACTACTCACTGTCTTTACAAATTTTCCTAATAATGATTGTTCATGTCCTTTCAAATAACAAAAATGTGTGACTGTGAAGAATAACAGTACTGGTAGGTAATTTACTAATGGATAGTAACATCAGGTTTTAATTTGTCTTTCTTTCTTTCTTTTTTCTTTTCTTTTTCTTTTTTCTTTTTTTTGGTCGGTTGTGGGGCCTGAACTCTGGGCCTGGGTGCTGTCCCTCAGCTCTTCAGCTCAAGGATAATGCTCTACCACTTGAGCCACAGCACCACTTCCAGCTTTTTCTGCTTATGTGGTGCTGAGGAATCGAACCCAGGGCCTCATAAATGCTAGTAGGCAAGAACTCTACCACTAAGCCACCTTCTCAGCCCAGGTTTGAATTTTTCTAAGTCCCATTATTACTGGGAGAAATCAGAATTTGCTGGGAAGCGATTTTTTGCTTGTATCGTGAGGCATATTATAATGGTGTTTGTGCTGTCATACAAAACAGATTTGTTTTTCTAACATGCCAGCATTTTTGTTTCTTTTCCCTGTCCTTGCCTGTAAGTCCATGGGCAGTTTCCTCCTTGACCTTTAGTCAGCCACTGCTTTCATGCAAGATCTGTTCGAAGTCCTTACACTCAATATTCTTTCACTTGGTATTTCTTAGTGATGGTGGTATCATCTCCAGAGCACAGACTAGCAAACTAAAGCTGTGAAAGTTTAGTAAGGACATGGTGAGTCTGATGTGCCCAGGATTTCATTGCTGTACATACAGCCTGCAGATGAGCACACAGCAGCCATTTGTAAGTCCACCACTTCCTGTGCTCTGTAGCTACCCAGCTTCAGAGTCCTGCCCATGTCAGGGAGGTACTCAGAGAAGCAGAGCTTCTGGGATCAGGGAAATCAAGCCCAGAATTGTTTGGGTATAGGAAAAAATATAGCAAGTTGGGTGAGTATAAAACTTGAATACAGTTGAGAGACTAAATCATAAATTGCATCAATTTAAAAAGAAGTTTAAGACCAGGCGCAGGTGGCTCACACCTGTAATCCTAACTACTTAGGAGGCTAAGATCTGAGGCTCATACTTCAAAACCAGCCTGTGAGACTATTACCTCCAAAACTATCAGAAAAAGCTGGCAGGAGCACTGTGGCTCAGTAGAGTGCTAGCTTTGAGCACAGAGAGGCTCAGGGACTTTGCACAGTTCAACCCCAGAACTGGGCAAAGAAAAAGAAGAAGTTTGAATTGTTTGGGGTTGATACTTAGCTCAAAATAGACCAAATCACTTAGTAACATCCTTTTTCTGCAGTATCATATGCCATTCATTTAGTAAAATTAGGAAAGCAATGCCTCTATTAATTAGCATTTTATCTGATTTAATTTTAACCTCTTCCAATAACATTTCTAAGAACCCTTTAGAATATATTTTGTACCTACGTAGGTTTTATGCTGTCTGCATTTCCCACAGAATATTGTGTTGATAGATCAGACCTCATTTTAGCATTAATTTTTTTAAAAACTAGTTATACATGTGGCTATTACCATTGAACTTCAACTGAGAACCTACTTAGAAGGCTAACACAAAACTAGATCTAACTAAATATGCCTTTAAGTAAATAATAAATATTTTTTTGTGCCAGTCTTGGGGCTTAACTCAAGGCCTGAGTGCTGTCCCTGAGCAAAAGTGGTAGTGCTCTACCACTTGAGCCACAGCTCCACTTCCAGCTTTTTTGGTAGTTTATTGGAGAAAAGTCTCTTGTACTTCAGACTGGCTTTGAACTGGGATCCTCAGATCTTAGCCTCCCAAGTAGTTAGGATACTGGTGCCAGCTAAATATATCTTTTTAAACAACGCTCATATGTAGTACACTTCCTCTCTTCCTCATACATTTGAAAACAAGAGTTCTAGAAAATCTGTTTTGTAAAATTATAACTAAAATAGAAATTTTTCCGCTGGCCATTGTTTTCAAGTCCTGACCTATGATTTTTTTGTGGACTGTTTTCTTTTTAAAGTTCAAGCCAGGTGAGGTAGTATCCTGCCCAATATGGTAGTAGGAGCCAGAGAACACATTATTTGTGTATATGTGCATGCAAGTGTGTATGTGTGAGATTGTGCATCCGCACATGTGTGGGTGTGCACACACACTGGGACTGGGGCTTGAATTCAGAACCTTGGTCCTGCCCTTTAGCTTTTTTGCTCAAGGTTGGTGTTCTGCCACTTGAGCCACACCTCTACTTTGTACTTTTTGGTGACTCATTGGAGATAAACATTTCATGGGCTTTCCTACTTAGGCTGGCTTCAAACTACAATCCTCAGATCTGTTTCCTGAGTAGCTTGGATTACAGATGTGAGACCCTCTCGCCCAACTCTGAGGAAACACACTCTTACTCAGACAGAGGATTCATTGTGTATCCACCCTTTCTCTCTCCTAACTCCCTTGTGGACCTCTGTAGTGCTCTAAGCATGCCTGTCCCATGGAACTGTGGCTCAAAGTGATAGAGCACTAGCCTTGAACAAAAGAGCTCAGGGACAGTGCCCGGGCCTCAGGTTCAAGCCCACAACTGACCAAAATAATAATAATAATAATAATAATAATAATAATAGCATTATTCAAAGAGAAATTAAAGTTCACTTGGAACTTAATTCCTCCATCCTGAGATGTTTTCCCAATTTACTTTCAATCCTAGCCCCTCAGAAGCTACAGTAGGGGCTTTGAAAACCTCTCCTTGAGCCTGCTCATAAACAAAATAGTACTTTATAAGTTTTCATCTTGTACACAGCTGAACACAATTGCTGTTTTGCCTTGGTGAGATGTAGATGCTGTCATGATTGGAAGACAGGGCTGAGATCAGGTACTGTCCATTAGCTTAGACAGTAATGCTCTCCTATATAACTGTTGTCCAAGTATTAGGTACTCAGACTGCTTCTATGGGTTTTACTTCTGTAATCAGTAATGTCATTTCTTTATTTTGGGTACTGATCGTTATTTGCCATGGTAATTGTAACTGTATGTGTGATGTGAGGGATTTGTGCACCTAAAATATCCATGATGTTTCTGGGGGTTTTTCATGGGTTGAACTTGAAGGATGTTCACTATAAAAATATAGTACATATAAGTATGTTGTTAAATTTAGTGGTTTAAGTCATATTTATTAAGGCTCATAAAATGGTTATGTATAAATAGATAGATAGATAGATAGATATAGCTCAAAGCTAATTAATCATGTATCAAAGTGATACCCCTCTTAGTTCAAGTTCCATGCAGTTATTGGA